ATTGACTCATATGGTCTAGAAGAAGATGTTAGATAAAGATGGAAATAAGTGAGATTAAGGTGGTGAAGCTATTCAGGATCAAAGTTGTAAGAGAAAGATTTTATTGAGGCATTTTTAGGTGTCCGGAATGAGGGGGTGTCCGGAAAGTGGGTGCGGGACGTTAACTTACATCGCATGATTACCTTACGACGCTCAACTGAACCCTTCCTGGCAACAACAGACGTAAAATGTATTACAGACAGATTCAGGTGTTTTCCAATCTCGACAAGGCAATGCCAGACGTCTCGACAATACCCGGGTATCATATCCCACCGATTTGGTTTCAGTGGGAACAGGCATATTTTGGCCAGCTTTCCACCGTCATTCAAAATCCACTCGTGCCCGCGAGGGTTGTCAAGACTGGTTGCTACCTTCACGACAGAAGCATCAACTGCAACAAAGCATGCGAAAACTTCACCCTAATGTTTGAAACGCCCGAGACTCTCTGGAGTTGTGTCACACTCGCAACGCTGTCACTCCTTACAAGGTTTCCAAATGAAGACCCAGGACGAGACCGTATCAACGCGACTCATGAGGCAGAAGCAAATCGCACTCTCAACTTCGGCGAGCTCAGGAAACTCGACTACCCCTTCAGGCTGCTCCGTGGTTGCGCTTTAGAATCTTGCTCAACGTTTGGTAGATGCCCCTTGGCCCTCACCGAGATTTTGGCCATCCCCATCAACACCAGTAGGATCGACGACTTGGCAAACATCATGAACGGAAGTTATTGCGCCTCTGCTCATCCGGGGATTGACTTTGACATCGCTGGGCCTGGTGTGAGTCCGTCTACTTTTGAATACTTATGCAACAATAGGTAGCTAACGATTTGGTGTACAATTAGGTTGTGATTGCGTATTTCTTTCAGTTTGGATTGGCGTTCTTCTTCGCCGTTTCATTTACCATTACTACTGACTGGATGTAAACTGACAAGCCGAGGTCTCTCAAGAAAACCGGGTTTGCCAGAGCAGTCTTGTGTTCAATTGCCGACCTCCAAGAGACACAAGCTTCATTTCTAATCACTGTAGCTGGTGCTGTAGTCGCAACGTTTCTCGGGAAAAAGGATACCGGTCTCACGAATATTTCCACAGTCATATCTTGGATCACCAATGACGCCATTCTGAAGGGCGTCGTCGCGGCCGGTTCTTATCCGCTGCTTCTCTTTCACCTAGTTCTTCATGCATCAGAGACTCGCTGGTGGTACATATTGCTCTTTGTGGTCGTCAACGTCATCATGGTCCTTCTCATACACCGACCAAAGGATATAGGCCCTGAATCTCTACTACCTCATTTTCAGAAGGCGGCGGTAGATCTAACAGGCTGTGGACGACATCCAGGACCTTGAACCTTTTGCCAGAAATATCAGGAAATCTCCCTGAATCCTATCAAAGAGCCAGGTCGCTATTTAAGTTCAACTCCAAGTACCCATTTCCGATATACCTTATTTGAGCTATTTTGGCACTCGATTGGATCATTCATACTGCATACCGTTGCTTCAAGGACAATTCTGTAGTTAAGAGCTTTAGCAAAGGGTTTCGACGCGAGCTTGGAGTGATCTACAAGGCTGTCAGCATCATTTTGGGTCGCTACCGATTCCTAGGTATGATTGATGACTGGTGGAAAGCCGTGGGAGTTGATCTTTACGGACTCTACCGCGGCGTCTAGGCACTTCTGGAGTTGTTCACTTTTGGAATGTGCATCCTGGCGGCTTCTGAAACGATCACATTTCTTGAAGTTCTTGTTGCGAAGGACATAAGGCGCAATTGCTGCTTAGCAATTGTGGTTCCACTTTTGTAACAGTTCCTAAAGAGAGCTCCGAGGGTGATCTCAACATTACCAAATGGGCATTTGGTCAGTTAGTTGCTGTTGCTGTGTGGTTCCCCGTAATCATTAAATTCGTTTGTCTATTCATACGTAAGTCAGCCGCCCTTCCAATTGAAACCTATGCCGAGGGACCAAGCTAATCCATGCAATCTGCAGTGGAATTTGGAACCGACAACTTTGAATTGTACGAAGAGATTACCCTACGGAGGCAAAAAGGATCAGCTAGGTGTGCAATTCGAAATTTGGTGACCATGTCCGTGTCACTTGCAAGGTTGGATCGCGTCAAGTCAGCGCCGAATGAAAATGGCGATGAGGAAGAAATGCGTCCCCTAAACGAACAGCCCCAGTATGATACTCAGCAGATCAGAATCTAGGCGGCAAAACAAATAGACTCGAGCGTCCACAATCTCTACCTTAGACTTCTTGTTTTATCTTACGATTCTCGTGGATCCCTGACACAATGGAATGGGCAAGTACCCAACGCAACTCAATTGAAAAGATTCCTAGTGACAGAACTGTGGATTCTGCACAATTGGCAGGACTGTGATAAATACATAACCCCGCATATATGCACTGACTAGGCCTGGGGATGTGGCACATGCCGCCCAGTCTGGGGGTTCAGGATGACCTTGACTTGGCGCGAGTTGAGCGCCCGCTACAGGCGTCTGACCCATTGCGTAGTGCCAAGGCTCAAAATACCTCATTGCAGGCCGTCTGAACTAAGATCTCACGCGCTGAATCTATCCGGAGCCGGGTTGCCTCCCCTTTCACCAACCAACGGCGCCTACACCGCCCGCACCGCATACCAAGTATGGATATCTCGAGCCGCAAGTACCGCGAAGGAGGCGATGCACGTGCTGCCCCCAGATTTGGTGAAGTGACACCGTCATTTCTCGTCCCATGCCCCCTCCTGTGATCCAAGTGCCTATTGTTGGTTGTCTGTCAGGCGGTGTCGACTTGTGTCCTCTTTTCTTTTCCCCTGCTTTCCCCGCGTGAGTGTGTGGTCTTCCGGTTTGCATGAGAACAGGAGCGAAATCCAGCCTGCTTTTTCCTTCGGTTCTTTGCCAGCAACAAACGACTGCGACAGACAGCTAGACCCCCAGACCGTGAGGTATTTTCATTTCATGCTCCCGCGACCCGAGCACCCCGACCCCGTTGTCCATCCCAAGGCCTTCCGACCCAGACGAGAGCCGATCCGTACCGTTGGCGAGAGACATGGACTGGTCCGCCGTAACGAACTTCAACGTCGTCATCAGCGTTCTTGGCGGCTGGCTCGTTCTCTTCGGCACCTTCTCGTACCTCATCAAGGAAACATGTTACCTGTCTGAAGCCCGTAAGTCGAAGACGTTTTGCGAACCTTATGCGGCCAGCTCTCCTCATGCGGCAGCAAATCGGAGATTAAAGATCCATGAGCTAACCCGCAAGTCAAGTCGTTTCCCTCCTTGGAGGTGTCACCTTCACTCATGTCGCCAAATGGATCAAGCCCGGCGAATACGCCGTGTCCGAGGATGCCGTCGCCTCCGTCACCCTCGACTTCAGCCGTCTCGTCCTCGGTGTTCAGCTCGTACTCGCCGGCGTGCAACTCCCTAGTCGCTACCTGCGCAAGGAGTGGAAGTCCCTCTCACTGCTCCTTGGCCCTGGTATGATCGGTATGTGGGCGTTCACGAGCGGCGTCGTCTGGCTGCTCGTCCCAGACCTGCCCCTCGTCCACGCCCTCGCCATCGCAGCGTGCGTTACCCCAACGGACCCAGTCCTCTCGACCACCATCGTAAAGGGACGCTTCGCCGACGAGAACGTCCCGGAGGACCTGCAGCAGATCATCGTCGCCGAGTCCGGGGCTAACGACGGCCTCGGGTACCCCTTCCTCTTCCTGGCGCTGTACCTCATCAAGTACACTGAAAGCGACGGCAACCCTGTATCGGGTGAAGGCGGCTTCGCGGCCGCGATCCGCCTCTTCTTCGGCCAGACCTGCGTCTACGTCGTGCTGATGAGCGTCTTCTACGGCTGGGTCGTCGGCTGGCTCGCGCAAAAGCTGCTCCACTGGGCCGAGCGCTACAAGTACGTCGAGCGCGAGAGCTTCCTGCTCTTCCCCATCGGCATGGCCATCTTCATCCTCGGCACCTGCGGCATGGTCGGCAGCGACGACGTGCTGGCCTGCTTCATCGCCGGCAACGCCTTCACGTGGAACGACTGGTTCCGCCTCGAGACGCTCAACGACCCCATCCAGCCCGCCGTGGACATGATGCTCAACATGGCCATCTTCATGTGGCTCGGCGCCGTGTGTCCCTGGGAGAGCTTCTCGACGTCTGAGCTGATCGGCCCGGGTCGTCTCTTCGCGCTGGGTGTTCTTGTACTGCTGCTCAGGCGGTTGCCTGTCATCTTGGGCCTGCACCGCTACATCCGCCAGATCCGTGGCCCCGGGCAGGCTTTGTTCGTTGGGTATTTCGGCCCGATTGGCATCTCTGCCATCTTCTATCTCTACGTCGGTCTCGAGTTCCTCGAGACGTTGACGGATGAAGATGGTCAGCGGGCGGATGCGAAGAAGCTCGGCGACACCATGTTGATCGTCATCTGGTTTTTGATCATTTGCAGCGTGGTAAGTTTTTCCCCGTGCGCTGGCCTGATGGTATGTTCTGACGCCTTCAAGGTTATCCATGGCGTTAGCGTGCCCATTGGTAAAGCCGGAACGACTCTGTATGCCCGACTTCGCCAAGGCCGCATCGCTCTGCCTACGTGATGACGATACATATTCCCAACGACATTTTGCATGAGTTCTCGTGTGACACGCTATCTTTCCTGCATTTTTATCATCTTTTATCCATCTGGCATTTCAACATGTGTGGGGTTCAGCCCTCTGGGATTGGGGCATGTATTCATTGATCTGAGCACTTGGTCCGGCTGCAACGCATTGTTTGATTTGTGTCTAGCGAGCATCGTTCTTTGCGGCTTGTCTCTTTCGGTGATTCTAGATGATATTCCCCGATACATGTTCTGTCGTTTCGGTTTACGTGCACACTGTTTTCGCATCTCCATCACTATCATCGTACGAGGAGGCTCTCAGCAATGATTTGATTCATGTAAAGTCATTGATACTATAGGTCCATGTTCTAATCATAAGTCATCTTTCTGGTGAAGTCGCTCTATCTCTCAATCTCAATTGTCCTGCTCATCCGAATCTGCTGGTCCTCTTCCTCGTCTCGGTGCAGCTGACGACCTGGGAGCCGCACTGCATGGTCAAGTGCAACCGGCAGCCCTCGATGCCTTCCACGAAGCATGACAAGACACAATATGAGCTTGCTGCCCGTGTGCCATGCGCCGCAAAAGCTGAAGGCATCGGTCGGGAGGCCCACCGAAATTCCGACGCAGCCATAGGCCGACACGACTTCGAAGATGATGTTGAAAACAGAGAACGTGACAGGATCCTTGATGAACTTGGATGTCTCAATAATTGTGATGATCAAGATCGCCAGGACCAACCACCAAAGGTCGTGTGCGAGCTGTCCACGGACTTGCTGACTGATGAAACTGATGCGACTTTCTGGCTGGTCGGGTCCTGGGATGCCAGGTCCCCCAGGTTTCGGAGGCGCAACACCAACACCATGGAAACTCATAAAGGTGCTCCTGAACGCACGTCGCGCGTCAGAGACCGGCCCAGAGCGACTTAGACGGCGAGCCAAAACTGAAGGACGGGCAGATGCTGCACCAAAGCTAGCGGTGCGGGCTAAAGTTGGTGGCCGGCTTCCCAAAGGAAGCAGCGACATACCTGCCTCTGGGTCGGGCTCTGAAGTCGATTCCAAATCGTCCCTGTAGATGCCGAGTGACCGCTCTTCGTAGACGTTAGAGTGTCTCATGGTAATGACCACGGGATATACGGAAATGTACATCATGATGACATAGAGTAGCTGGAGTCCAATGAAGAGCCCCGAGATGGGTACGACATAGAAGCCACCAGACCGCACAGCTGAAAGGTAGGTTAATACATGTCTCTGACACCTTTGATGAAGCTTTCTAGACAAGTTCGAGCTTACCTAGGGCTTGGAACAAGCCATCGAGGATACGAGAACCAGTTGAGATCTTCTCGATGACTGAATTTCCAATATTGAGAAGCTCGAAAGCTACCCAGTCCACGGAATTAAGGCATAGAAGCATGAAGAATAGCCACCAAGACGCTCTGGAAGGGAAGAGGTTTGTATAAACTCGGCGAGGATATTTTAGGATGAATTCCAAAGTGGCCTTAAGGTCAATGAAGGCGTCTTGCGGCGTCGCAAAATCCAGGATTCGAAGCGAACTCCAGATGATAAGACGGAGGAACAGTGGGTATGCGGTATTTCCTGCTAGAATCAAGAGACCCATTGTAATCAAGACATAGTATGCATCTTGAAAGGGAATCATGTTGGCGTCCAGGAGCGACATGCCCGAGTTGTTGAAGGCCGAGACGGCGTTGAAAATGCCAAGCCACCATGGGTTTATTCCATTGGCCCTTGCCGTACTTGGCATGTAATTGTTCATCCAGGCTCCGAGGACGAGTGATGTCAAAAACTGCCACATGAAGAAATAGGCAGGCACGATGGTGGCAAGAACCTTGAGAGCACGGTACTCGCAGCCGCCGAGATGATCACGCTCTGCGCTGCTGAGGTCGTGGAATTGACCGTTGCGACTAGCGGAACGGTGCTTCAAGAAGTGCCGAGCGTCGAGGTCGATATCGGCCGAGTCTGTGGGAGCCTTGGCAGATCTCCTTGATGGAAGGGCCACTCCATCGCCGTGCGCAGAAACACCAGTCGAAGTGGCTTGCGTAGCATTTGGATGTGGTGTATCATCGAACGTAATGTGACCTGGGTTTTGGGAATCTGCAATGTCTTCAATGTCCTTGGGCGTGTTCTTGTCTCTCGTGTTGACGTCTGGCGAAGACATGGCCCTTCGGAATTGCGGCGACGGACCTTCGGTGGTGTCTGAGTCCTGGTAATCCGGAGGAGGGTGTGTCTCTGGAATTCGGCTGCCAGTCCCTTTGAAAGCCTGATCTGGAGGCGGCACAGTCTGGGCCTTTCCGAAAGAAAGTGCGAGCTGAAGCTTTGGCAGAGTCAATGGAAGCCGTGGCAATGCCAGTGATATCGTGCTGCCTTGGCGGCTGAGTTTGCGGGCACGCTCTGCTCGGACAATTTCATCGAAGCGTTTCTCGAAAACATGTTTGCGTGCCAAGATTGTCCAAATGGAAACCCATATCGTGCTTCCGAGTAGCAGCAGAAGGAACAGGATTGTTTGTTGCCACGTCGTCAATTGGCTGAGGTTGACGGTGTTGAGGCCAGCTTCGGTCATGGCAGATACCACGAGGAAGAGGCTGTCGGTATAGCTCACCTTGAACTCGGCATCGGATGAGGCCCAGAAGATGACCGACGACAAAAGACAGACGATAATGAAATATGCATAGTGGAGAGTGATGAAGTTGAGCGGCGGGAGGTATCTGCTTAGGGGGTTGCGTGCGAGCAAGCGCTTGGCGGCGGCAACGGTGCCCATGAGACGCTGCTCGACGGAGATGCAATGGAGTTGAGGGACTGAGGATAAAGCAGGTTGTCTGAGACCCTAGGAAAAGACGAGGTTGCGCTGCATGTCGCTGAGATCTGACCAGCCAGGCTTGTTGATGCGCTGGCACTGGATGCAGACGCGACAGGACACCGGACGGTCAGATGACGTCTGCCAGTAGGCTGTCTCAGGCCCAGTGGTCGATACGTACCCCAAAGGCATTGATAAACAAGGGGCAAGAGCCGGCCTTCCCTCACTAAACTTGGGACGAGCTTGCCTCGAACCAGTTTAGAAAGGCTAAAAACGGGCAGGTGAGAGGCAATTAGCAGCAGCACATTATGGCTATCTTCGTGGAGGTGGCTGTGCACCAGCGTTGACTCGATGGCTCTTTTAGAGGCATGCGCCCGGTTAGTCTCAATATGCGCTAATTGGCCTGTTCATTGTGCTTTGATGGTTGCCATCGCCATTCGAACATCGCGGTGATATTATCGGAGGCAATTGCTTTATTAGAATGAAGCGCTATTGTGGCTGCAGTGGTTCGGCCCAACTAAAAATTCAGCAGAGCAGTCACACGCAAAATGGTGTCCTTGGGTATGCAGGTCACCTGGAACCTGGAGTCGTGTTCTTCTTTAGCGGCAATGGGGGAAAGAGAATGAAGCGATTGAAGGAGACTTAAGAATGGACAAAATGATGAATAAAGGCAACATTCCGTCGGTAAAATATGTCAAAGTTTCATGGGTACTTCGTCTCATCGTCAACTTACTAGGAAAAAGATGGTGCTAATGACATTTGGGCTGGATGATAAATGTTGCGACCTGAGAGCTCGCAGCTCAATTGCAGAACTACAGCTTCATGAGCACCAGGTTCTATGTTCCTGCAATTGACAGTCAGTTTCTATTCATCAAGCACAGCATTCTAGTATCATTGGGTATGAGGTTGTATTCTAGCCGGTAAGCATCAGAAACATACACTCAAAAACAGTCAAGCTTTCCACGCGCCGGGCCATTGCCCGGCGCCGGCTCCAGTGTTAAATGAACTTCAGGAGGGCCGAACGGGATCGGCAGTGGGACCTTACCCCGGCCCACCTCCTAAACCTTGCCTTCAGCTGACACACCCCTTAAATCTCGGATGCGATAGACTTTCACGGCCTAGCAGGGAAACAATCAAAATTCCCATGGTTTTCTTCAACTGAGATGCGAAAAACATCCGGTACTCTGCTTCACCATGGAAATTGTCTGCCGACCGAACAGGGCGGGAAAAGTCCCGGGCGGGGCGTTTACGACATCTCCATCATTTCTCATTTTTCGAGAAGCTGCGTGGAATTCAATGCCCGAAAGGGATGAGGATTGATAAAGGTCTTCTTTCTTCGTCTTCCATTTTGGTAATGAGTGACTTACCACCACAAGTCGTTCAGGTCGTTGAACCCCACGGTTTACCCCTGTCATCCGGCAAGATGAGGTTCAACATTCACTTCACTTTCCTTTCTTGGGCCCTCGCCCTGGCCTCGCTGGCGAGTGCATGTGTCACTCGCGATGTCAATGCTCAGAAAGCCTTCGCCCACCCGGGTCTCCTTCACACCGCTAAAGACTTTGAACGCATCAACGGCTTCCTAAAGGCCAACCGCGCGCCATGGACAACCGGCTGGGACAAGCTTGCCGTACGCGCCGTCGCCGATTACACCCCTCGACCGGTGGAGACGCTCTGCCGTGGCTCCGGCAGCGACTGCACGGAGAACTATTCTCTTCTCTTCCGCGATGCGGCCGCCGCTTACGCCAATGCCGTCCACTGGAAGATCAGCGGCAACGAGACTCACGCCGAGGCTGCCGGCCGTATCCTTGACGCCTGGAGCAGCACTTTGCTTCGCATCTGGGGCTCCTCGGACAAGTTCCTTGCCAGCGGCATCTACGGCTACCAACTTGCCAACGTGGGTGAACTTCTCCGCGACTGGAGCGGATGGAAGGGCTTGGATGCTCTGTCCAGCATGTTGACCAACGTGTTCTACCCGATGAACCACGACTTCTTTGTCAGACACAACGGCGCCGCGATCGATCACTACTGGGCGAACTGGGACTTGGCCAACATGTGTACCATGCAAGCCATTGGAATTCTCTCGGACAACGCCACCATGTATAACGAGGCGGTCGACTACTTCAAGAACGGGGCTGGCAACGGCCAGATTGAGAACGCTATCTGGAAGGTTCACGAGGAAGCTGGCTCTAAGAAGCCCTTGGGTCAGGGACAGGAAGCCGGCAGAGACCAGGGACACGCTCTGCTCGACTTCGCGTTCCTTGGCGTCTTTGCCCAGCAGTCGTACAACCAGGGAGATGACTTATTCGGATACCTCGACAACAGAATTCTGGCAGGGTTGGTCTTGACGTTGGGATCGTAGTGGACACTGTCTAACACGAACATAGTGCGGAATATGTGGCGAAGTATAACCTCGGATACGATGTCCCCTTCGCAAATTTCACAAACAGCCACGGAACGGCTACGGTCATTAGTGAAGCCGGCCGCGGCGGTCTTCGACCCATCTGGGAGCTCATCTATGCCCATTACGACTCTATCAAAGGTTTGAACGCCTCGTGGAGCGGACAGATGCGCGACCTCGTCAACAAGGACGCCGGTGGTGCTGAGGGTGGCGGTGGTGACTATGGTCCGAACAGCGGTGGTTATGATCAACTTGGATTCGGAACTCTCCTCTACAGATGCGAGTAGGAATGAACGTTGTTCTTGTGGCACACGAGTTGGCTGTCGACGGTTTATTTTTCTATTCACTCATTTGCATCACTTTCTTTACCTTATTCCACGTCTCATAGTTGGGTTATCAGGAGTGCACGCCTGTTCCCATTCGTACATATTCAATCAACAAACCTTGCAAGGATGTTTTACATGATCGGACAGTGTTGTCTTCAGCAAACATTAAACAACCTTCTGGGAATAAGCCGTGTGAGTATGGCTAGTGAAAGTTTCATGCATGACTTTCCAACCAGAACCCCATGATTTCTGAATCGATGAAGTTATAAGCTCCATGGGACACGAATGGAAGAAGCAGCTTGTTTTTCTCCGGCAAGGTACCAACAATTATGCAGTTCTTATCTCATATGTACATCTTGGAATCTTTTCAATAAGCCCAGATGAGGCCGCCCCAGCTCGGATGGTCAACTCTGCTCAAAGGCCCCTCAGGTCCTGCAGTCTGTTTCGCCTTCGTCGTCCACGGGGCCTCCAGTCCTCTCTTCACCACGTACTGGTAATAGACAATGTCCCACATTGGGTTATCCGCTGTGACACCCCGCTTCTCCTGCGAGATGGCAGCCCAAGGCCCGCCGACGAGGACCGCCTCGCAGCGGAACCACTTTGGGTCATACTCCACCGTCTCATTCAAATTGAACTTTGCCGTGTACTCGGCTCCTTTGAGGATCAGGTTGTCACCTTGACTGTACAAATCTGACCCCTGACTTTGCGCAACTCGGGCAGCCGTGGCAGCCCAACCAATTCCAGTCATGGTGTGGCCTAGGATACGTCATTCACATTATCCTGAACGAGATACCTGGGGCACGTACTCTGATCACGACCGGACTCGGATGATTGTCCGGTCTTCGGGTCGAACATGGAGTATAAGCCCGCGCAAGGGTTGTTCAGGTACTCATTGATGGCATAGTTATAGAGCGTAACGTCATCCAGGTACACTGCGAAGCTCAGCAAAGCCTTGATACTCGCCATCCCATAGTTAGCCTGCCCAATAGCGACAGATTGCCGCGAGAAGAGCCAGTACAACTGGATGCTGAACCCCGAGCCGCCTTGCCACTTAGCCCCGGCCTCAGTCCAGTTGCCTTCCCAACGCATGATCTCCGCCGCATTCACGAAAAAGTCGCCCTCTAAACCGATCAGCAGAGATCGATCCGTACCAATGATGTCGACAAGCGTAGAGCCCCAGCTGTCTAGGATCGTGGTGCTGCGGTTCCAGTGCGCCTCGTCGCGGGTGATGTACCACATCAGCGCGTTCTGCCATGCCGCACGAGAGTCAGAAGTGAAGCTGGTGTGGTTGCTTATGCTTCCACGTGAGAGCACCGCCTTGGGTCCTTTCATCTGGTAGGAGGCCTGGCTGTAGCTGTCGTTGCTGAATACATCAAAGGTGGACTTCCATGGATCTTTGCCCTCAAGTACGCCATCCCGGATACGCTCGAGATCTTCATGGGTGTGCCAGATTCCGGGATGGACAAAGTCGCTTGGGCGGCTCTTGAGGAACTTGGAGATGTCACCTGCAGGTGATGGTGTGAGCGGGTAGACTGGCCCGAATGCTCCTGGTATGTCGGCCACTGTTGCGAGGCATGGCGGGTTCAGGAGGCCTGCCAGAGACAAGGTGAGGATGGATGCCAACTTTGGTTTATAGTGTCAGCATTGAAGACCTGTAACAATTCACAGTATTATCTGAGCAGTTACCTTCATCTCAGTCGTAGCGATGCAACAATGGTAAGAGGATCAAGCCGTGAATGGTGGAAATTCAGAGGGAAAGCTTGAGAGACAAGCCGGAGCGTGACATATCACTTTATTAACCGGCCACAAGGTCCCAAACAGGCGTTCAAAATATTTGCTCGAATCAGCGCGGCCAGTTAAAGCCATGATCGGAGCCGGGACAGGTAGCGGGCCGGAAGAAATATGTGATGCCGATTTCAGCAGTCGTGGTGTGTAGGATCGGCATCAACGCCGAGAAGGGGAGACATCAAATCGCGGGGAAGTTTGCGGAGAAGCTTGTTCATCCTTCAGTGATCATAGGCGACTGCAACAGTGGAGGGGTTGCAGCACCAGCGCCAAATTTGGACGAACTGACGGGGAACCGCCGTAATTTTAGGCGGGACATCTCCCGGGAAATGGTGAGCCAAAAGCCCACTGGGTTCAGAGTTTTGGGTTACGAAAACCGAGCTGGTGGGTTCTCACGCCCGCGATGTACTGCGCATCGTCCGTGAACCCATAGAAAACGGATGATGGCTAGTGAAGACGAAAATAGTAAAGGCGGTTTTCTTCAATATGGAAAACAAAAAGCCAGACACAGATTTGGTGCGCAGCGGAATGGAACGATGACTCATGACGTGAGCGTGCGGGGCTCAGCATTGGACCATACATAGATATGCTTAGCGCTTGACGGGGCATGAGCCACTCGGTTGTGTAGTGTAGTGGTTATCACTCCGGATTTTGATCGTATCAAAACTTCCGGCAACCCCGGTTCGAACCCGGGCTCGACCTCGCTTTTTGATGTTTTGCTCAATTATTCAATGAAGGTGCGATTTTGCAATTGCTGCTTTTGAGTCTGAAGTTGTTTTTAACATTCTGATGCTACTGCCCAGCCCTCCAACTCATAGGCAGCTTAAGAACGGACATAAAGCCTCTAGAGTTGATGAGGGCAATAAGAAGAAAAGGTAGAAGGGAAGAGAGAAGTAGATGGGGAATACCCTACCTAATAGAACATTGTTCCTACTATTCTTGCACAATCTGTATGTGTTCAGCTTTAGAGAGTTGGAATATCCATTACGATTAACTTAGACTTCTGGCCCGGTTTTTATGACAAATCTGACTATCCTACCGTAGAAGGGTTTACAATATCAAATCGGAACGAATAGCTACAACTCGAGACACGCCTGGAGTTCATCACTGTGACGTCTCCTCCACATTCAACGAACCGTAACTCTCAACAAGATGTGTCAGAATGTGATCATCCACTTCCTCCTGCTTCTTGACAATGCTGACTGGCCAGTGGCTGCGCACTGCCTGCACCATATCGTGCTTCTCCATCTCTTGCTCGTCGTCAAAAGTCATCGAACTTTTCAACAAGGCCACTTCTTGCGGACGCATCCGTCCCCTGATAACTCGGAATAGCGCTTCAGCCAAGTAGTGATTCCGACGCTGGTTCTGCAGCCCCTTCGCAACTAAAATGAGCGTAGACCGCAGGATTTCGATCTGATGTCCAGACTTCTCTTCCAATATCGCGCTGATGCAGTCGTATCCGGTGAGCATGAGGGGTATCACGAGGAATAGGTCCATAGCTTCGTAGCCGTGCCGGAGATAGTAGAGGCGGATCAAGGTTTGGAGATATTTCTTCGCGTCGGCAACGACTTTTTGTAGTGTCGGGTCGAGATCTTTACTGGCGGCAAGCAAAGGTTCGTAGATCATAAGTAGCAAATGGTAGTAGTAAATGCTGCGATGAAAGATTACTAAAAGGTCCGCTCGTTCCGTACGTTGATGACTATGGGTGACGAAGCAGAATCTTTGCCCCCGGGCTAGACACTTACTGCAGTTGGAAGTGACCTGGGAGGGCAATTGTCTTGGGGTTAAGTGGCTCTGGCATGTCACTATACCACCTTCTCAGTTTCTCATGAAGCCCATTGGCTTTATCGAGAGTAATAACTCCATTCGGAGAAAATGCCGCGTCGCAGTACTCATTCATGATAACTCTAAACTTGGCCCTCGTCCGAAAGATGTGACCAAAATGAGTCGGTTGGAGGTCTGGAACCAGTGGGTACTGAAGCCAGATTTCGCCATACCACCCACCCTCTTTTGCCGGGTCAGGCAATGGCCAGTCCGGAGGCTCTTTGACTAAAGGCGGTATCATGAAGGAAAATGCAACCAGCCTGTAACGTTTAGATGCTATCACATAATATTGGGTTGGTGCACTTACGTTTCCCAGTTGTAAAGCGCCCAGGCGGGTGTACGCCCAGCCCTTTCGTTTGGAGTCATTATTTCCACATGAGATTTTAGAGAAGAGACGCAGCCTGCGTGCCAAAGTCACGCTGTGGATTCTGTACGGCTGACCAAGCTCATCTAGACCGCACAGGTTGTGGAAAACGCTGAAAAGGACGCCAGCTTGTATGGTGGTCACCCGTGGCTCAGAGGCCTGCAGTTCCCAGAGACGCTTGGCTTCTGCAAGAAAGCGGTACCCAAGTGTATTGGGGTTCCAATGCTCGACGCGATTTGAAAACTGTGGATAGCACACCTATGCCTAGTTAGTCACGTCGGCTGCGAGGGCATAATCAACATACACAGGCATATGCAAGGGTTATGTTCACAAGTAGTGAAGAGCAGAAGTCTTGCTTTTGTGCGACCAAGTCTTCGAGGAATATGTCCTTCTGAAACGCCGCGGAAAATTGATATTCGCACCTGAACAAGGCCCTGAGGAGGTCTCGCATGAGTGAATCGTCATCACACACGTTAGTCCACCATGATATCTTCGCGTCGGACAAGCGGGGTTCGATGACTTGTGCAGCGTGACACGGTTTGGTGTAGACAATTTGGAGTTCCTGCGATCCACTGGCGGCGGCAGGCGAAGGTCTTCGTTGCCCATGTGCAGAGTATAGTGATGCCGCTTCGTAGATGAACGAATTCAAATGAGGATTGTTTTGGACGTAAATCTCAGGCATCTCGGAACGGTAGGGGAAGTCATACCGTAGCCGCGTTTCGGGTGTAACGGCCATCTGAAGCAACAAATCTCCAGCCTCGACATGGCTGACAATAGTCGCGGCATCGGCCCCGGACCTGATCCTCTGGAAGACATCCTGGGCAGCCTCTTCCGGTAAGTTTTTCAATAGTGCTAAAACTTGCTCGTGGATCGTCGCTCGACCTTGCACTTCATTGTGTTTCCGACTGGTGGCCTGCTGTCGAGATTCACCAGGTCGCGTGGTGTATTCACAGGAGCTGCGCCGGTAAAGACACACACTGCACGTGGGCCTCTCTCCAGTACACTGCAGGATATATGAGCATTCCGAGGCACTTCCCAGGTTATGTAGCTCAGAGACAACGTACTCTTGACTTGCGCTTACGGCATGCGTTGCAGGCAGCTTGCACAGGCCGAGGTCTTTTCCTCGGGAGATTATCGAATTTTGCTGGTTCGGCAGCACTATATTGCGCCGGGAGCAGCGGGCGCAACGGCTGCATGTTGTTCAGCGGTTGCTTACGTTGTTGTTCATTCAGGCCGCCAAAGCAACTGTTGCTGGGCTTGAAGTATACTCTGTAGACACTGTCATGGGGCGAGGAAATGAGTGCGCAGCCTGGGCGAATGGCACGGAGCCACGTGACTGTTGGAAGAGTACTGGTTTGCGGCGTCGGAGCTTGCCCCGTAAAGACCAAAAACATGAGAGACTGGTGCATGATGATGTCAGCCGTTGGTTACACTGACTCTCATTCTCTCATCATAAACATCGCATTGCGGCAAAGACCAACCAACAAGAGTGAAGCTTAAGAGATTCAACCCACGGAATGATATTCACCGATGCATTTTTGTTACTATGGAAGCTGCATTTCATCAGTAATCCAATTCAGAGACTGTTTTTGTTCTCACATGAAGCTAAGCCCCTAACAGTCGTAGCGCTGTATGCAGGCCCAGGGCGACGATCAGACCCCCAAATAAGAGAACTGCTTGCCGAAGGCCCACTGCAACTGTCCTCCCGTTGTTGCAATTGAACCCCTGTGGCCAATCGTTGCCAGGTTTGTACAGCTTCTCGTCCTCACCATTCCCATCTTCACCAACCCCAGAAACCTGCCCAGAACCACATCCTGAGCCTGAGCCTGAGCCAGAGCCAGAGTTAGAGTCAGATCCTCCCGGTGCTTGAGCACCAGGGCCAGATTCGCAATCGCCCGTCGGCGGAACTGCGTTGGAGCTGACAAACTCGACGTTGGATCCGGGATTTGGGATCATCACGTCTGCGTTGTCGACGGTTCTGCATCCGTTGCCAACATTGGCGCGAAAGATGTCTGGTTGGGCTCGAAAGTTGTTGCCGCTGCCGCCGTTCCCAATTTTGATGACAGCACAATTCATATACATCTCTCTGTTGCCCAGATTGTTGAACCATGACCAGGCCAAGATGGCTTGATCGGATGAAGGAGTATCGTCCGGCAGTGTGAATGAAATCTGGTAGCCATCCCCGGCGGGGCAGCCACCAATAATGCTTCGGAGAACTTTGAAGGTGTTGCCGCCATCAACAGAAATGGAAACCTGGCACGAACCGCCGTTGTGGGTGGTATGGCCTGAAAGAGTGATCGTGTGGTCCTCGCCAGTGTTCCAGGTATCGACAGGTGCTGCTTCCGAGGTGCCCAATACGCTCAAGTGGCCCTTGCAAGGGTAATCGGATCCGCTAGACGAGAGTGGGTTTGTGTAGCTGTAGTCGATATTTCCTTCGGCGGTATTTGGGTTGATCTTTGCCTTCAAGGGTGGTGGATCAGACATCATCATGTGTGCCGAAGAGAGATATGCGAATGTCAAGATGAACATGGCAACCGCCCAGAATGAGGGACGCATGACTGATCGACTTCCTTAGCTATGCAACAGTCGCTTGCGGTATGATGAGCGATTGATGTTGCTGTGTTCTTGTCTTGCATTGCGGGATATTGAGCGTGGAAGCCTGGGAGAACGGATCATGTTCACAGTTCACTAGTTAAATAGTCAAGGTTTGGCAACTGCGTGAGGCAGTGAATCATCTCTCAGAATGTGACCCGTGGAAGCGGCGCCATTTCAGGTGAATATTTCTATTATCTAGCACCGCCAATTGATTAGTTATTTTCATTCACCGAGTCCCCAAATGATCATATTCTTGCCGCCCATGCGATTAATGCTGCGCCAACACCACTGCCATCTCTTGCCATGCCGATTTTAATACGCTTCTCGCCTTCGTCGCCAATCTCAAGTACTTCCCGCAAAGCTTCTCTGATGTTTTCCTCGAAGTTTGGAAAATGCTCGATTAGAGAACCATCGACGCCAATGTCAATGACGCCTTCTTCCGCATCGTGTGAGACTGCACCTGCTCCGTGCTCTGGCTCTTGGAACGTCGGTGACGAGTCTTTGGCGGGAAACTTGATATGAACTTTGATACGTAACCACTTGGCCAGCACCTTCCAAGCACTTCTCATGCCGTAGAACAAAGGGGCCAGGATATGAATGCCCATGCCCCACGGTGCTGCAGTTGATTTGACAGTCGCCTTCGAGACGAGCCTTCCGGACTGCAGCGCCACACCCGCGATGGCCACAGATGACAGTCTCGCGGCGCGAAGCCCAATTGATTCGGAGATAATCTTGACAGCTTGTGCATCTGAAGTCGATACATTTGTGGCACAGAGTATTGTCGAGATTTGCTTACGTGCAATTTCCAAGTCCTCAGTTGAGTCCTTCACAACTGAAGATAGCAACGAGCTGTCGATACTATCGGCGACATGAACAGCAGACTCGGGTGCTACTTGCATGTCGAAGGCCTCTTTGTGTGAACTGAGAAGGTGGACCAGTATTCGCCTCAGCAGCTCGCCGAGATACATGCCAGATATGCGCTTCTCGAAATGTTGATCATCTGGGTTGACTGATTCTTGGTCAAGCTCTCGGTCGAATCTTGATGTCGGCAGCACTTCCAGCTTGTTGTCGAATCCACCCCACTCCGTATTCAGAGCCATCATTGCGTCAGGTTCGTACTTTGAGGTTCCTTGGCGAGAATGAAGCTTCGTAATCCGAGAGAGGCGTTCCATGTATGCGCCATTTGTCCCTGTTCCGAAGATGGCGCCGACGATGGTACTTGACCTCCCGGGAGAGGTATAAGCACGCGCTGCCAATGTTCCGACAGTGTCATTTGCAAGCGCAGTTACCAGCAATGGGAGCTCTTGCTCGTCAAGTGCTTCTTGAAGCATGGCACAGGGATCTCGCCCAACTGCATCGGGTATGTCGAAAGACTTTGTCCAGTACAACAACTCGCCTTTGTTGAGGGCGTGCTGGTCGAAGGTGAAGCTGAAAGTAAATCCCAGACTCTTGGAATGCGAGCGTCTCAGCTCATCCGTGAGGCCACCATCCTTCACGAGAGTTTCCCAACTCTCGAGGTCCGATGCATGATGCTTCTCCATGAAAGCTTTGGTTTGCAACGCTATGAATCTGAACAGATCCTTATATGTCGGCGCCAGCATGAGATGGCGCGGGATAGTCACCTTTGACTGGGTGAGAGAGTAAGTTGAGTCTCCATGCAACTCAACCGAACATACTCTCAAGTTGGTCCCTCCCAAGTCGATGGCCAAGCAGACGCCCTTTTCAGAGCCATTTGGTAGTTTGGTGACATATGATGGAATCTGGCACATTGATGTGCCGTCCTTCTGAAGGCCTTCATCTGTTTCGTGTGAGTTGGTGTTGCTCGAGTAATGACCAGTCCTGGCCGTGGGTAGTTGATATTGATGGACTTACTAAGCTGCTTCAAGAAGTGGGTAGTTGCACGGCGAACATCTTCCGCAGGGAACTCGAATTCTTTGGCGATTTTTTGAGCCTCAGATATCAAATCCGATCTCCGGGCCTCCTTGAGGCTGTTGGAAGACATTGGAGCACCAGCACCCACCAAAAGATCTTCGATAACGAGTGTGTCGGGGCAGAAGCCAGGTTCATGGGTACCGCATCCCAACATTCAGCAGACTACCCGATCAAGTATCTAACTAGGGACGCCAAAAACTGGCGTACTCGCCAGATAATCAGTAACTCTCATGCAGATTCGGAATCCCGTCTCTCCTGTCATAACCATCTTGTTCAACATGGCCGTCGGGTGGCTCAAGGATCACGACCCGGCAAACGCGGACCGGGTGGAACCGGTGGATCGGTCAATTTTCCCCCTCACTTCCCTCCAATGACAACTGTGTCGCCTATCTGGGGCCCAGTCCAGGCTCGCTGAACATCGCTAGCGTCCAGCTTCCTCATAAAGTCCGGCCACCCCGGCTCAACCGGCGAACCAGAGTCTCACACCCCGATCCCACATCACCTGTTTCACCGGTCCTCCGCTGAAAACAGCACAATAGTTGATTGCAACCGGGCAGAGCACTCTGCAAACACCGGAAGCTTTGAGTACGCAAAGTGGATCTGTTTTGAGAAACGTTCCGAAAAGCTTGTCAGTCGTCAACCATGTCGCTGCAACACGCGAGAGACGGAGCTTCGGTGGATGGGCCTGATGATGCGGGCCCGTCCAAGGCCCGGAAGGCATGCGGTAAGCCCACAGGTGTGCGTCTCACCCGTGGCTGTGGAGGCTGACCACTGCCTGCGTAGTCAATTGCAGAAGACAGAAGATGAAGTGCAGACTGGACAACGGGTCGACGTGTCGAAGATGTTTACGCGCCGGTGTCCCATGCGTGTTTGTACCCAGAGCCAATGTATGTGTTCTCGTCCCCGGTCCTTCGTGATCATTCCTGATGCGGCGTTTTCTTAGTCCGCGTCCCATCGTGAAAGTCTGTCATTGGCTTCAATTCTCCACAGTAATGAGCAAAGTTCTTCTTTCAATAAATCTGTGCTCTTGAGATTGAAGCGCCTTGAGGAACACTGCGGATTATCTGGTCTTGGCAGTCTTGAAGACGCCGAGTCGCCAGTTTCGCCAAATTTGCCTGAGGTTGAGCTCGAAAGTCCCGGGGATGCGGGGCTCAGCGCTCTATGGAATGCTGTTGCTGTCCTTCGAAGGACATGCCCCTCCAAAGTCAGCTCCAACATATGGGAAAAACACTTGATCAAGAGGCTATGGCTTTCGTGAGTACGTCTTTCTTAAGGCGAAGGATATCTGGCTGATGTGATGTAGATTCCATGAGAGCATGCCCGGACTGCACTTTCTCCCAAGCAAACAGACATTCTCATCCCCTAGGCCACTCATGCTGGCATCAATGCTTTATTGTTCAAGCATACGAGGTTCGCCAGATGTTGCCGTACTAGCACCCGACTACTTCACCGTTTTGTGCAGTGCCATTTCACAACTCTGTATTCCCGATAGCGAAATCGGCCAACCACCAGACGACCCCTCATCAGCGGAAGAATGGGCTTTTCAGACTGTTCTTGGCATCATACTGGCTGGCCTCCTTCGGGAAGCCGTGGTCAAGGAGACGGGGCTCTGGATCTCAGTGGCATATCGATTGATACTGGAGCACTGCCCCTCTAACGTTGACGAGAGATCCCGTGAATGGCGACGTCTGTTCTCTGGTCTGCAGGTACGAGTCTCCCATCATTGAAAGTATTCGTTATTCCTGCTAATCTCATGCTAGATCGTGGATCTCGAGCACGCCTCGATCCACCTCTCGTGTCCTGTAATCCCCATCGAGGCGCCGCTGCCTCGGCTCAAGATCGCGATGCAAGATCAGCTGTACCGCCTGTCTAGGATGATGCATACGGGCCTGACGCACTTCACTGGGCGGGGCTTACCGACTATCTGGTCATGCTTTGCTGGCGAGCCTAGCGCAACGCCTGATGCAACCGTCTCGTTCAGCGGTGTCGATGGGGCGGTGATCCGTGATTGGGCACGTCAGCTGGATGACTGGCTTGTGGAGTTTAGCGATAGGGAGTTTGAGTCGGAGCATGAGAAGAAGCTCGTGTTCAGGCAGTACATCCTCCACCGTCTGCTGGTTTTGTCCATCTATCACCCTGCGAGGGGGTGCAACTTGTTTTCCAATACCACACCGAAAGAACAACATGAGCTTCTGGTCTCGGCACGGGCGGCTGTCAAGCTACAAATTCTTGACTCGGCTATTTGGTCCAATTGGGACCTGGTGATGATCACTTGGGCATGTCTTATCGTGCTCCAAGGCGTGGATGGTGGTGTAGGAGAACCTGATGGTAAGTTTTCTGCAGCTGGCTGATTCATGGAGTTTTCGACTGATAGCTGCGACGCAGATCTGGAGAACGTGGGGGTTCACCTGCAGAAGTTGAAAGAGATGCACGAGCCAAAGCCAAGTCTCAGAGGCATCTTAGCCACACGGCTTGAAGAAAAGCTTCAAGGGCTGCACACCCCTGCTTCGGGTGACGCAGAGATGTTCGAGCAGGAAATACAGAACCTGGACAACTCTTGGTACATCTTCGATCAAGCAAGTCTGCAGGCAGGTTACGAACTATGGTCATACGAAAACCAAGGAGGCTAGTTTTTACTTTAAGACCATCCAATAACTGGAAGTTTACATGTTTCATTCATTCTAGACGTGATGTTTGTGACCAACGAGCTCTATTGCCATAACCCTTTACCGAACCCATGAAAACCCATCCTACCTCAAACTTCAAACTCCTTTCTAGACAAACCTTCAAATAATGGGCCACGGTGAGATGCGTGAAGACATGCTGTCCGGTGTCAACTCAACGAGGTGATCGTCGTCTAAGAAAGGCTTCGTGTCTGCTGGAGTTTGAGGAGGGCTCGCAAGCGACACTGTCCTGAGTCTCAGAGGCAGCTTCTGCTCGAATCCTTTGCCGAGTCCAACCTTCTCAATGCTCTTGAAGTACTTGACTGTCTTGACCTGCAGCTCTAGTGTCGCGTCTTCGTCGGCAACAATCATGGAGTAAGGGTGCAATTGTAGGCATGACAGAGTCCACATGTGGTTGACGCCGCCCTCGATCGCCTTTTGCAAGGCAATGGATTTGGATGCACCATTAACGATGATTACAACCTCCCTGGCCTATTTGAATCACTGTCAGTCGACTCAATCCATGTTGATTTGTTTCAGTAGGAACACACCTCCATGACGGTTTGTACGCCAACAGTCAAGGCCATCTGAGGAACCTTCTGCAAGTCTCCTCCAAAGAACCGGGCATTGGCCCGGATCGTATCCATGGCTAGTGTCTTCACTCGTGTTCTCGAAGCAAGACTTGATCCTGGCTCGTTGAAGGCGATGTGACCATCGGGACCAACCCCGCCGAGAAACAGATCAATGCCGCCAGCAGCCTTGATCTTGTCTTCGTAGGCAGCACACTCGGCGTCCAAGTCTGGTGCGTTACCATTCAAGATGTGCACGTTTTCGGGCTTGATGTCAACATGGGAGAAGAAGTGACGGAACATGAAGCTGTGGTATGATTCGGGGTGGGATTGGGGAAGCCCAACGTATTCGTCCTGCAACGTCTAGTTCAGAGCTTGTCATTGGGCAACAAAAGCATGCTTGTCTTAGCTTACCATGTTGAAGGTGATGACATTCTCGAACGAGATACGACCGGCCTTGTATTCTATGACAAGGATTGCATAGATCTGTATGGGGCTGCTTCCGGTTGGCAGTCCCAATACGAAAGGCTTCTCGGGTGTCGGGTCGAAGGTTCTGATACGATCTTTTTGGCATTAGTCCGAGGCCGGTTCCATCACACAGCTTGGCAAGATAAACAGCGTACCCAAGATGTAATGGGCAACATGAGCAGATGCAGATCTGCTATCGGGTCTAATGATGAGTCTCATGGTGTAAGTGTATCGGCAGTTTTAATAAGATTTGTTCGAGTCGTTTGACAATCGTAATCAACAATTTAGGTATCAATCGAGAGGTGGAAAGAATGGTGAGAAGGAGACAAAGTCAAGGGCAGCCAGATTCTAGGTGATTGACCCTTCTGTATCAGACAATTTCGGGGGCTTCAGGTGCTATTGAAGCTTCAACACCAAGTGTAACTGTCAGAGACACTTCGGCAATTTCTCCCGGTGCCGGCATTGCCTTTCCGACATCACCGGTGGCTCATTTCGAAGAGACCCGTTAGAGCCCCCACGCGGCATAAACCCAAAGATCGGAATGAAAGTCAAATGCGGCCAGGAAGTGTCCCGAAGATCTGGGACCCTCTGGGTCACTAGCCAGCGTGACATGCCTTCCGTAGAGCCGGTGCTGTGTGGACCTGTGGGGAGAGGGGCTCGTTGCATGCGTCACCAGTGCACGACATATTGCATTGATTCGCTTGGAAAGATTGGTATTGTTCTAGGCTAACTACAATTATCCATGCCATGTGTCTGCCAGTACCACCCTCCTGCAAAGAGCCTGCAACTCGGGGCTCTGCTTCTCTGCCACCTTTTGCTAATTACTAAATATCACATTAAACGGCATGGGGATCGTTGCAGAAACTCGAAATTTCCGGTGCACAATCAAAATCGTCTAAACGTTCCGTAGTTTACTCCTCCTTGGCCTGAAGCATCTTCTCGCTGTACTTCGACCCAGCCTTGAACCACCATGCGCCAACGAGAACAGTCAAGCCACCAACGACAACGCAAGTGTAGTTCATGTTGGCGGGCTCAACAGGCATGACATACGGGAACGAGAAGAACACGATGGCAAAAGTGAGCCAGCACACCGTGATGGTGTTGATGATGGGTCCCCAGGTAGCTCCCATGTGGAATACACCACGGTGCATGTTCTTTCTTCTCGTGAGCAAGTTGGTCAGGATGGGGAACATGTAGGAGATGTTGTTGATGGTGACCGCGGTACCCAGCAGGGAGTTGAAAGCCGTGGACGAGCCGAGGTAAAGGCATCCCAGGGCGGCGACGATGGCAGTCACAGCCAGCTGGGAGTTAAGTGGGATCTGCCACTTTGGGTGGACTCTTGACCAACTATCGCTTCGGTCAGCACAACTGTTCAGAGCTTTATGATGAGAATCCGCTTACAGTCTTGAAAAGGGCATCGCTCCATCACGGGAGAAGGCCCAGAAAACGCGCCCAGTGCTCAGCTGAGAGCTGACGACGCAGGGGCCGAGAGCAACGAAGAGGATGAAAGTCAGGCCAAAGGCTCCACCGGCACCCTGAGTGACCTGGCGGAACAGCTCTGCGAGCGGGAGGCCAGTGTTGGTTGTAGAGAGAGCATCGAAGTCCTGCACAGAGAACATAAGGGTGATCAGGTAGGTGATACCCGTGACAAACGCAATTCCAAGAGTGATCGCAATGGCCAGGGGCGCGTTTCGGGAAGGCTTTGCAACTCGTCAGTATGTAGGCAGATTCATTGGGGTGTCAGGGAAACTCACGTTAGGCATCTCCTCCGTGATGTGCGTCACACCGTCGAGACCGCCAAGACTGTACAGAGGATTGACCAAGCCTGTGATGAAGCAGATGACCTGGTTTTCCCAACCAGTGTTGTTGATCCAGGTCTTGAACACAAACTCAGCGTTGCGATGGGTCGGTGCGCATGCAGCAACTGTAACCATGACCACGAACCAGCCAATCTGTAGGTAAAACAGGGAAAACTTGTTCAGGCCAGGAATGATCTTGTTGCCGAACATGATGACACCGGCGGTGATGAGGTTCAGGCCTTGATAGACAATGAAAGTCTGCCAGGCCTGGATCTCAAGACTCTCGTGGTAAAGCGCAATCAACGCCATGAGGACTTGCGCGTAGATCAAGTTCGTCGATGCAGTAGTGAAAATCCCTGCGTGTAAACTCTAATCAGCAAACATCGCGGCGTCTCAGGGGATGGTCAGAACTTACAGCCAAGCACACTGAACCATCCAGTGAAGAAACTCAAGACGCCCGTCATTCTCCTGGGGGCTACAGCAGCAATCCAATGGTACATGCCACCCTCAGTAGGGTACGATGACACGAATTCCGCCAGCGACGCGCCCAAGAAACATTGCAGCAGCGTCACGAGAATGAAGCCATAGATAACCGCACCGGGTCCACCAGCGTTGATCTCGGTGATGAGACCCAAGCCCAGACCCGTCCATGAGATGGTTGTCGTTGACGCGAGACCGATGAGACTGAGGGTGCTGAAATGGCGCTTCAGTTCCTGAGTATGGCCTGTACCAATCGGTCAGATTTGGGTGCTGTCAATTTGAAAGGGCTATGCGACTTACCCATCTGCGCCAAACGAATCTCGTCGGCGTCGAGATGCTTCTCTCCAGACCCGTCCACGCTCTTCTTAGAACTCGACGAGATGTCGATCGGTCCCTTTACTTCGGCCATATTGACTTTCGCGGATTGAAGTTGACGATAATCCACTCAATTGTACGTGATCGCGTGCCATCTCCAGCTTGATCGCGCGAGTGGGCGCTGAAAGAAACATATATCCATCGCGAATCACGGAAAAAGCCCCGATCCGGCGTTCTGGCCCTCCGATCCCGTTCTCGAAATCCACAATTGATAGCGGTCATAAGACGAACATTAGTTCCTCAGCTCATGAACCCTAGTTGAGGCGACAAAAAGGCGGATGTTTGCCGCGTTCCGATTGCTACGGGCCCCGATAAAACTACGGGGAAAACACAAACCCGCGAAAAGAAACAGATACGATAAAAGCCGCGGTTGATAGAGAGGGCAGATAGACCCGGTGAAGTCCGGCCCGGAGCAGGGTATCCGTCTATCGGACCCCAAACCGCACCACGCCTGCAGGTCGAACTGCGGAGAAGAACAGACGACGGGCAGGGGTGCTCGAGTCATCCGTTGTGACGTTCATGGGGTATCCTTGTGTCTTAGTCTCCCCCGACTTTTGCTCACCCTTGCCCTAGACCACGGTGCCACGGCATCGCTATCGCGTTTTGTCTGTCCTTTCGCTCGGGGATGTCCCGAGTTGCTTCTTTCTCACCTATTCCCGCTCAATGGCAACGTGCCAGTGGCTAGCCATGCCATGCCTGGCTAGTTATTTCCAACGTGCCCACAAGGGTCCGAAGGGTCCCATCGACTCCATTCCGCTATCACCTCCGCATTCTTACCTAACCTGGTCAACAACACCGGCCCCAGCCACCGTTAGCTAGGGCCTCTACCGGTTGGTAGAAGTCTTGGGTGCGCGTCCACTGCTGTCGTGTGAGGTCACGCGGGTGCCCGGCTTCTTGATTGCTGCAATCTACAACGATGACGATCTGGTCCTTGGCCCCGGGACTGCACCGCATTGCAGCTCTTGGCCGCGGGAAATTGGGCATGACATGACGCTTCTGTATCATGAGTGTGTGTATATTAGGGAGATGGTACCCCTCCAATGAACTGGTGTTCGTGATCTGCTCCCTCCCCAGGACTCCAAGGTCGCATCAACTGGGTCTCCCACGTGCTCTTTCAAGATGATCTCCAGCATTTCAAAGGCAACGGCGCTGCTCGCCCTCGCTGGCACAGCCACTGCGTCCTCATACGTCGCGAACCTGTCCACCAATGCTCAGGGTCTCTTGAATGAGTCAATGGCATGGATGGACCAGTACTACGACCGCTCGGCTGGCTACC